AATTAAAAAAGTATTGTTTCATTTGTAGAAGCGGAGTCTTTTTTGTTTTTTGTGCTAGGCTATTTGTTTTATTTTTCGTTGTGAAAACTTCTTTCGTTTTACACTTCTTTTGTGGAAAGTGAATTCCCTATATACAGGATGTCCCGTGAGAAAAAGGAAATATTTAACAGCTTGATAGTAGACGGCTAGATCTACAAAAAAGTTCATATAAACAATTGCCCTATTTCCAGCAGAAAAGTAGGAAATTTTAGATTTGTGTTTTTTTAAGCGAGTCACGTTTTTTGTTGGATAGGAAGCAATAACCTAAAAATATGAATGTTTTTTTTAAAATCTTATTTATTGAAAAATATTAAAATCTGTCTAAAGGACATTTATAATAGTGTTCACAGATCACATTCACACTCTATGTACAGTAGATAAAATAAATTATACAGAAAAATAATATATATACAATAAATAAGAATAAAATAACCTAAAAATAAATTAATAAAAATAACACATACATACCTATATATAATATTTACAATCTGGTGAGAGAACTCCAAACCAGACTTGTCCCTCCAAGTGTGGAGGGAAAAGCATGGCTCCAGGAGATCCCAGCACTTCTCTCTCAACCGCGTCACTGGGGCTAAACCCAGTGGAGATTGAGCAAGAGTGCTTAAGCCACATACATACACTCGTGTCGTGAGTGGAGAATCTGGCCATTGCCAGAACTCCAATATTTACATACTATAAAAGGACAAATACTATACTACTATACTAATACTATACTAAAAATACTATACTATACTATAAAAGGTCGCGGGGCCACTGCCGTACCAATATGAAATTAAAGGAATTAAACATTGCTTCATAGTAAACTAGACAAAATTTACTTTAAATGGAAGTAGAGGTTGTCATTGTTAAAACCGTTTGAAGAGGACTATTGAGTGGCTAAACTAAATTCTGTTTGCAAAACAATCATAAATTATTTGTTTGTTTTTTTTACCACCCTTCAACTGTACCACAGTTACCCCACTTTTAGAAAAACTTCCTTGTTTAATAAAATAAGCTTCAATTCAATATTAATTAGGTTGAGATTTATTAGGAAAAAATTTGATATTCACCCAGGGGTGCCCATCCCCCCAAGATCAATGGCGCAAGAACCACTCCTCCTTCACCTCCCTCTCCCCAAGATATGCTTTGCTCTTAAAAACAATGCAAGCAAAAGTAGAATTTAAAAAGACATAGATCATATAGAATTACGCTTGATGCGGTCTATTCTATGTTTTCCCTTTATCCTTTGGTTCGAAACTTTTTTTTCTCGAAAGTCATAACCCCGTAAAAACGTGCTCCTATCAAAATTTTTGATGGCGCAACTTGCACCACGAAATCCCCTTCTGCCCATCCCTGGATTCACCTCAAGTTGTGTAAAGAAATAATCTGATTTTAAATCCAGTCACCAAGAAGTACCGGCGTTTCTCACAAAAATTACTATAATTAACGTTGCATTGCTTTTAGTTATTATTTTCCGTATTATGGGATGTATTGTAATAAATATAGTTGCCTAAAACATATTTCATTTATATCAATAAAAAGATTAAAAATAACGATTTTTCAATTATTTTCATGCGAGGTGGTTATGGAATTGTGTTTTTCTCCCACTTTTCTGTCATATGAGTTGATGCGTATTTATAAGTGACAATCTTAATGTTTCTAGTTCCAATATTTAGGTTGTTATGAAAATGATTGAAGCAATCAGTAGCACTAGCGGATCCAGGATTTAATTTTGGGGGGGCTTCAGCCCGAAAGCTTTTTTTTCATAAAAATAACGATAATTACTTTGGAAAAACAGAAAGAAACTAACTACCTATACGAAATTGTGTTTAAGTGATTCCTTAAGTCCTTTTAAATGTAATTACACGAACAATAATACATTAAGAGATATTTTTTAATTTTTTTTCCCCAAAAACATGGTTATATTTTACCATTTTTTGGGGGGGGGGGGCTTCAGCCCGAAAACCCCCCCGTAGATCCGCCCGTGATCAGTAGGTTTCTTTATTTCAAATGTAAATTTTAGTAAGAAATATTAAGTTTGCCACTGATAAATACTTATCAATTTCTATGACGGCGATCTGGGACGAAAACACCATTACAAATTCACTTTACATCAAAAATATTTGAACATCATTTTTAAATTTTAATAAATAAAATTTGTTTTTAGGCAACTAAGTTTATTACGATTCAACCCATATCACAGAAAAACAAGAAATAAAAGCTATGAAACAGTCAAATGTATTTTATGCATTTTTGCTGAAAACACGGGTTCTTTTAGGTGACTGGATAGAAAATCATATCATTTATTTACACAACTTGAGTTGAATCTCAAAATTTTACCAAATAAACCTCAATTTAATTAATATGGACATAAACTGGATTAAAATGGAAGTTTATCTAAAAGTGGGGTAACTGTAGTACATTTGAAGGGTGATAAAAATAATCAAAAATAATTTATGATTGCTTTGCGAACAGAATTTAGCCTAGTTTAGCCGCTCAATAGATCTCTTCAAATGGTTTTATCAATGACAACTTCTACTTTCGTTTAAAGTAAATTTTGACTAGTTTACTATGGAGCAATGTTTAATTACTTAAATTAAATATTTTTTAATTTATCGTAAGTTGATCTTACGGGACACCGTACATATAAACAGTGAAACTTCCCGTTACGGATATTTCTCTATACCGAACATTTTCATAATCTCTGTAATGATTTTTATAATTTAAGAAGCGCCTGAGAATCAATCTCGCATGATGGCGACACTTTCTAGAAGTAACTCAGCTTAGGCGGGAAGTCTGCGCTGAGGTAACATTGTAGATGTAGCATTGACGATAGATACAGGGGTGCCCAGAAGGCCATCATTTTTCTCGGCTTAGTGCTGAAATTATCTTACGATTAAAGTGGAAATCAAATAGGTACTTACGAGTTTTTAGTACCCAATTAAATAGACAAAGTTTGCCGACCTCCAGATTGAAAAGGCCCTATTCCGAGAATTTTCGTAAATAAAATATTTGCAGGTTACGATGAGATGAAGCTATCCACGAAGTTTCAGCCGGATTTTAATAATTTAATGAAAAGGGCTCTGTACCAAGGACTATAATGTTTTGTTTTTTAAAAAAGAAAAATAATTTTTGCAAATGACCTTTGGAGCCGAAACGTTAGAAAACAATATTTTTTAAACTATTGTAATACTGTTTTAAAATTGCAAGTAATGGCTGTAAGATTAAATAAGGGTTTTATAAAAAATGATCTTATATAGAATAAATATAAGAACAATATTTAAATGAATAAACAATTTGATTTACATGATACATGACTAATAAAATACAATTAGCTGACCCGTGCGAATACTTCGCACAAACCTTATATTTGTATGTTCCGTTCAGTAATGTTTCCATGCAAAGGTTTAATACTTTTATTTAGTAAGTTATCAGTTTATAAATATAATAATCTATACCCATCCATAGGTTAACCCTTTCTAGTTTAATTCAATTTATAATTATAATATTATATTTTTTCTTAAGTTTACAAAAGCTTCTAAACATTGCTTTTAAATGTCTGATGAAGGCGAAATAATTTGAATTTAGTTCTCTGGAAGATACGTTTTGACCTAGCAGTCTGTATTTACAGAAAAAAAAAAAAAAAAGAAATGTTTCTTTTGTCATTAAAAATAAACCAGTAAATTTTTATAATGATAAACATCTAATAGCTTGTATATAGATAATATTTTTTTAAAAATGAAGTATTTAACATTCCATATTTATTGCAATATAACAAGTTTAATAATTAATTTTACAAAACCAAATGTTTTGAAATTAGCTAAAATAATTACTCATTGATACAATATATACTGTCTTAGGAAGAAAAGGGTCATTGCCCAAAATTTTAAATTCCAAATGAAGAGCAGAAGAGAAAATAGGGTAGATTAAGAAATACTTTTATATCATTTTCTGTTAAATAAGAAAATCTGCTAATAAATTTATAATATCGAGGAAAAAAGTTTATTTTACCCTTATATATTTATTCCATGCTTTAATTCATTTAAATGATCCAAGCATGGAATATATATATAAGGGTAAAAAAAAAAGATTTTTCCTCGATATTATGAATTTTATTATATATATCCTTGAAAAATTTTAAAGATTCAAACAAAAAATAAAATTCTACTAAAATATACTTGATGAAAACAATTATTACTACAATAGATTTAAAGTTTTTGTGAAATCCAAAACTGAAATGAAGAAAAAAATCTTTAAAGTAGAATTAATACTAAATGTTTAGAACGCTATAATAAAATTCTACTAAAATATACTTGATGAAAACAATTATTGCTACAATAGATTTTAAGTTTTTGTGTAATCCAAAACTGAAATGAAGAAAAAAATCTTTAAAGTAGAATTAATACTAAATGTTTAAAACGCTATTTGCACCACATAGTCCGATTTCGATGATTTTTTTTTTACGTTTTGTAGGGAATTTAGTAAGCTTTCAAATACTCATATGCATAATGGGCCAAAATAACTCGGCGTTCTTTCGAGTCATTCCCAAATTATGAATTAATTTGTAACGTCTCGATTCGTTGAGACGGGACCACCGTTTGGTTTGAAACCTCCCACTTTTATTTAAGTCCAGATATAAAATTAGGAATCAAAGTTACGATTCAAGCACTCTACGTGGTATTCCCTTTCTATTGATACCTCATTCGTCAAAATCCATCACTCCTCAGAGCCGGAAAAGGGATATATATTTGAGAAATAATATATAAAATTTTAATTCGCTAATTTATATTTTTCACGTTTAAATCCAATCTCCCTAAAACGGACATCTCTCTACATCGGACAGATTGAGGTTTCCACTAAGTGTCCTCTACAAAGAAGTTTTTGAATGACAAGAGCGCTGGAATCAGCGACTTGTTGAGAGGACGGGGGTTGCGGGGGAAGGGAGGAGGGGGACCCTGAGCGGCCAGTCTACTCTGTGCCGGCGATGTTGGTCGACAGCCCTCAGTCCCTCGGTCCCAACGTCTCCCAGGAGCACCACCTCGCCTCCTACTGCTCGGTCAGTTCATTATTTATTATTAATAATTTATTAAAAAAAAATATTATATATTATTGCATAGAAAAATTGCCCAATACAATAATTAAAAATAAATGCAAAATAAATCCCTTATAACAACAATATCCATTACCAACTATTATTATTTAACATAACAACAAATGTTACTCAATTTTATTTTATAATTTTATCTCAAAATAGTTCTATTTTGTTAAGAAATGAGTCAATATATAGAACATAAATAATATATTTATTATAATCAACAGATCATCTACATCATGACATTTCTGATGAAACATAAATTTCAATGTTGAATGTGGTTTTAAATATAAAGCATCATAGTTCATGAAAAAAATCCAAATACTTTTCGGAAATGTATGTTCAACTCCAAACCTTAAACAAATAAATAGTTGTGAGTAAATACGAAAGCCTTATACTTATTCTTCCTACACTATTTTATATTGATGTATTATATGAGTTCTGTTAAGTAAATTTATTTTCAGATTGATTATAATTTATTAATAAACCATATCTAGACTGAAAATCTTTACTTTTCAGCACCTAATAATTTTTAAATAATAGTCAATTATATATGCATCTCTAACTTCATTTTTTTTTAATTTTAAAAACAGTATGAATTTTAACATTATTTTATTTAAATATTTTATTTTTCTTAATAACAAAAAATCCACTTATTTTTTATATTAACGATAAGAAGGTTTTTGATTATACCAGATACATTAAAATATTATGTATTTTTTGTTACATTTTAATAAATCTCTTAAGAAATATTCTTAAGAAAACATATTACCAATATCATAATAAATTGTCCTCGATGTGTCAGAAATCCGAAACGTCGACTTAGAGATAATAAATAAAATTAGTTACCTTCTGTTATAAATACTCAAGAAAAGATAATTAAATAAAATAAGACAAAAAATTTTTTTATTATATATTAAAGTTGTATCCACTTATGTTAATGTTGATCTAAGTTTATTTTGTTGGACGTTTCGTTAAGTAATGGATTTTTAGAGGCGGTTGCACTAATTGTAATTTAGACAGGGTTATAATGTTTTGTTATATTATACTTTTTGTTGTGAACATGCCTAGCAATTATCTTAGTAGGTTATAGTTCTTGCCTTCAAAATGTCAAACTATTACAACTAAGCATATAAAGTAGTTTAATAACTCCATTGATTATTGAGGTAATTTCGCATAGAAATTTGTCTTTGGTTAATCAAGTTTTTGTGTCTGGATTACATCAACATTATTTTTTCTTAATGCATGATCTTTCCTATTTTATTTGCTTTACAATTTCTTTCTATTTAGTCAAAATTATAATTATTAAATTTACTGTACATTTTCTATTGGGTTTATTTTTTAGTATTGAGTGTGGTAAAATGTGTTTGAATTGAATTTTGGTTTTCTTTTTGACATCGCCGTGCATATGCTAATATGATCAGTGCCTAATGATTTTTTTTCAGTTATTTTAAAATTTAATTATTTACATAAAACGATAATGTTGTGTATATTTTACACTTATATTTTAACTGAAACTCCGTGCTGCATGCACCACCCTGAAGAAGACCTGCAAAGTCGGGTCGAAACGTTGGCTTTAAATAAAATAATTTTTCCTCTATTTTAATTTTTTTATGACCGCCACCCCGAACCATCTACTTCCTCTAAAATATACAACGGTCAACCATTAAGTTTTCAATAAATCATTTATTTAAATAAAATAATTTGATATTAAAATATATTCTCATATTCACTCAATAAACAATTAAAAACTTTTGCTTCTTTGAGTAAAACATATATAAATAAATCCATACATTTTACATTTATTTGCAAGGTTTAAAAATATATTCTTATTAAAATAGAAATTTAATTTTTCAACCAAATCATTATTTATTTTATATAATTTATTTTTATTAACTTTTTGTTTAGTTAATATAATAAATATATTTAATAATTTTGTTATTATTATCGACGCTGAAAGGCATAAGAGCGAGAAAAAGAAGAACAATTTCGTCAATACCGTTTAGTATATCACTAATTGCGGTATTAGTGATAAGAATTTTTTATGCTGTAATTCCATTTGAATCCATGGAATTATGTCTTATGTTTTTTTCTTATTTGTCTATGCTATCATGTCTTATTTAATTATTAATTAACTGTTCCATATTTAAGGTAATTTATATTTTATAGTATTAAAACTATACAACATTAGAAGCAAGGTGAAAATAATAACGGAAACTTTTTAAATGAAAATGTAGTATATGATTGAGATAATAACATAAAGTCAGACCTTGGACATTATTGGAATCATTGGTATTTTGTGGAGTGGGTGGAATATGCCTTAGGAAGTGAATTCCTCTTAGCTATTTTACTCAATTTATTCGTCAGGGTGTTAGCATAAACTTTTTTATTTCGGTGGCTTTCTATTCCTTAATTTCCATTATTTAAAAATAAATATTGAATGAAAGCTAAAACTATGAAATTAAGTGATGATATTTTTGTAGAAGTGATCTATTTTTTTGCATTTGAATTATTATTATTATAACTTTATGAACATTAATAATTTTCGAATAAACACCTTTGGTTGTTCATGAATAGAAGAATGTTAAAAAGGCCTGTCTTTAATTATTTTTGGATTACATGAGTTATTTTCATTATTGAGTTCTATTTGATGTATCTTTTCGTTGGATGTAGAAATGGCTGTTTTAATAGTTTCTTATTGTATATAGGTGTGTATGTGTTCTTTTTTATTTATTTATTTTTAGGTTATTTTATTCTTATTTATTGTATATATATTATTTTTCTGTATAATTTATTTTATTTATTGTACATAGAGTGTGAATGTGATCTGTGAACTCTATTATAAATGTCCTAGAGACAGATTGTCATATTTTTCAATAAATAAGTTTAAAAAAAAATAGTTTCTAATAAAAAATACCTATTAAAAAACTAACATTTTTTAAATTTTCCAAAATTTTTAATAGCTTTATAATAAAAAAATACCTGTTAAAGAACCATTCTTTTTTTTTTTTAATTTCCCAAAATGTTCAATGCTTATAAAATAAAATAATTACCTGTTAAAAAACAATTTTTTTTTAATTCCCAAAAATTTAATACCTATGCTATAAAAAACATTATTTTTTAATTTCACAAAAGTTTCAATGCCTATAAAATAAAAAAAATACTTGTTAAAAAGTATGTTTTTATTAAATTCCTCGAAATCTTAATAACTACACAATAAAAAAAAGATATTTTTTTTTTAAATTTCCAAAAATGTTAATAGCTATACAACAAAAAATTACCTGTTAAAACTATGCATTTTTTAATGTCCCAAACTTTTTAATAGCCAGATAATAAAAAAAATGACCTGTTAAATACTACTCTTTTTTTTTAATTAAAAAAAACAACGTGTTTTTCGGACTCAGTGGGCTCTAAAACGTATAGATCCGTCGAAAACCGCATATTGAAAATTTGACCCAATCGCAATACTTTCCTTACCTGGTATAGGTAGGAAAGTAATGTAGTAGCTATGCAATAGAAAATTACCTATTAAAACCTTTTTTTAATTTACCAACAATTTTAATAGCTATAGAACATAAAAATACTTGTTAAAAAACTTGTTTTTTTTATGTCCCAAAATGTTAAATGCCTATACAATTAAAAAATTACCTGTTAAAAAAGTATGTTTTCTTAAATTCCCTAAAATTGTAATTGCTTCATAATAAAACCAAAATGACCTGTTAATTTTTTTTTTAAATTCTCAAAAATTTTAATAAATAAATAACAAAATTACATGTTAAAAACTATTGTTTTTTTTAAATTTCTTAAACTGTTTAATAGTTCTAAAATAAAAACTGTTTTAAACTAGCGGAGAACTTTTTTCAGCAATTCAAATCTACTTTATTTTTTTTTTAGCGAAATGTTTTTTTCATGATACTATTTTATTTTATAATTCTCATTTCGATTGTTTTATTTTTCTTGCTGGTTCACTTGGTTTCGTACATAATTAATAATAGTTTCTTTCAATTATTCCTATTACTATTATAATAGTAATAAACGAATTTTAATTTAAAATATTGTTGGTATTTAAGAAATGAATGATATAGTAATAAATAAAGCCCAAGAACACAACTTCAATCTTTTTTTCTATTTATGAAAGCTAATATAAATCTCGGGGTGGTCTTGCTGTTACGGGATCTGTATAAAACAACTTTTACAGTCGCTTTTATGGAAAAGGCATCAGTCATCTCAAACTTTCTCGCATTCACTCGTCATAGAATATAGGTTATTGTTTCTTTGTTCGATTTCATCTGGGTTATAAGCTTTCCCGTGCTTATTTGCATAAAATATAGAAATAAGTAAATTTAAAAAAGGAACATGCTTCTGTTGGTAACCCTGAGTTGCTTGCATTTGCACAATGGTTATGAAAAATTGTTAGTCTGGATAAACAACAAATTGTTAACAGCGCTCCTACTGTCTTTTGCATTTACCGGTTATCCCGTAAATAAAGGGAAGTGTTTAAAAGTTGGGGTAGTATACCTAAAGAATTACAAAAAAGTTTATTTAGATTCTGATCAATCCTCAATGCTCCTTACTTTGTCACTAATAAAATTATCCATAAAGATCTTAATGTTCCTTATGTTTCAGATCTGGCCCAATTCAGATACCTATCCTTCCATAATAAACTTCAGAATCATCACAACCATCTCGTTTCTAACCTTGCTTCCTCTTCAATTCCTGATAACCCTCCGAGGCGTCAGAAAAGAAGATGGCCCCGTGATCTCCTAATGTAGTCATATCATTAGAGTGCTACCATTGGGTAGTTACTCAGCAAGTGTATTTATGTCATTATATCTATTATGTCCAAATTTACTAGATTTATTTATGTAATACAGTTGTAAATGTCATTAAGAAATAAAAAAAAAAAAAAAAAGATCGTGATCCAATTTTACACTCGTATTAAAATGTAATATTGTAGAAGATTA